TTTTTTCAGTTTTACATTGCTGCATGATCTCAGTTTTTTCTTGTCCCTGTGATCTCTCAAGATTAACTTTGCTCTTGATGATTTTAAATGGTGCATGCAGCTACACTATGTGGACAAAAGTACTGGGCCACGTACACATTACACCGACAGCAGCTGCTCGACTATGGAAACTGTGGAAACCCAGTTTGATGTTGATGCCAGAGAAAGTTTGGAACCTTGCAGTTTTAGAGTCGGTAGATAGTTTGTGGCTTTTATGCGCTGTGTGTCTCAGCACTTGGCTCGCCTGCTCCTGTAACTCTGGTGGTGTGCCAAGCTATGACTGAGTCGCTGAAGTTAATTTCCATTTCCAGTTTTTGCAGATTTTTGAGGGAAGAAATTTCACAGACTGACTTGTTGCAATGGTGGCACCCTGTTACAGTATACGCTAAAATTCAGCAAGTGCTTTAGAATGACCCATTCCTTCATAAATGCTTGTAAAGGCAGGCTGCATGGCTGGGGACTTGAGTTAATACACCTGAATTCAAAGATTCATGGCCCAGTGCTTTTGACCATATGCTGTATTAAAGTAACGATCTGTGAATACAAAACTAACAGCAAATGCTTCTTACGTGCTTCTAATCTCTTATCTTGCCTTACCACTGGATGTATGTATATGTGTGTGTGTGTGTTTTTGTGTGTGTGTGTGTGTGTGTGCGTGTGTGTGTGTGCGTGCACGCATCTCCTCCAGTCCTCTGCCCGCCGCTCGGCAAAGGTGAGCTTGCCTACAGCAGAGTGGAGAGGACAAATGGAATGCAAATCGATGAGTTAATTCTGAAAAGTTTGATTATTTTAATGTTTGAACAGTAGACTCTGGGACCATAAGAAGCAGATTTCTCCTTATGAAATACTTGACATTGAAAGAATTGTATGAGTAATAGTTACTTGAGGTGTGTGTGATCTTTCGTTGACTCAGGAGGGGCAGACTAAAAACAGGATGTTAATATCACTAACCTGGTTGTGTATGATAACATAAAGGGGTAGTACTAAAAGCTTTCATTATTCATCTTCAGTCTAACCTGCATTTAGTTTAAGTAACCGCTCTGACACAGTTTCTATGATCACACTGTGGCAGTGGAAAACGCCACGTCTCACATCAGCTACCTCCCTCCCCTCCCTCCTGGTCCGTCCCTCCAGCCGCTCCTGCCTGTCGCTCAGGGTACGCTCTGTCGTGTCATAGAGCTTCAGCTGACACCTCACAGGGAGCGGGGTGAAGCACATTACTGACGTTATGGCACAGGTGTATACTTGCAGGGTGGTGTCTCATGTAAGGGACACTGGGAGGTGATTATATTTGGTAATCATTGTATCACATTCATTTCACAGATGAATCTTCCAACGTCCACTGGGTTTATTGAAGGTTCTTGTTCACTGTGGTCCAAACTCCTGTTTTGATAGTTGGATTGTTTGCCGATGCTTTACAGCACACCTCTTCTTCTTTTTTTTGCATGTTTTATTTTTAAACTTCTCCCGCTCGTCACAGTCCATTCATAATCTGCCTTCGTCAACAGGCGTCTCGTGAGAGTCTCGCATCCTCTCTGTCTGGTGATGTCAGTGAGGCGGGCCTGTCCTCCCAGCAGGGTGCTCTGGGCGCCCCTGTCATACCTCAGCCCAGCGGGTCACCTGCAGCAGCAGCTGCTTCTGTTCCAGCTACTCCGAGCAAGGTAGGCCATTAACCTAAAGAAGAGGCTCTTCTTAGAGAAAGGAAAGAACTTTACTGAGGTTCATGTTCAATCCTCTCAGCTCATCTCATCTCCATTTTTTATTTTTTTTATTTTATTTCTTATTTATGATTGAATTGATTTTTTGTTATATTTCATCCGTCTTATTATAACCAGGTGGAACCTGCCATATCCAAGCAGGTAGAGTTTCTTAATGGCTACATGCATGCTGATGATGCCTGGCATGTGTTTACTAACAACATCAGGGGGGAAAACTTATCCTCAGCAGACCTTCTCGATACTTATCCATGGTTTTCAAATGTCCTCACGGGGAATTTTCTGGTGATGACGCATGGTTTACTTTGAGGCACTTAAAGAAACATCCTTACATCACTGTCTCTAAGGGAAATGGTTGAACTGTAGGAATCTCTCTCTCTCTCTCTCCCTCTCTTTCCCTTCAATAAAATAAAATAAAAAATTCTTTGCAAAGGGATTTGGAGTAACATCGTATATGTTATACATCATGCGTCTGGGATTTTAGTGGTGGTACTTGATTAATGTTTTGCTTTTTTTGGTCCCCTTTTCAAAAGTAGAGTCTAGGGAAGTAGATGAGGTTCAGTTAGTGGATTAATTTTGTTGATCCCGCTCTCCCATCGTCTTGCCTCTAATCACTTCATAGGAGGAGGAATCACTACGAGCTCAAGTCAAGGACCTGGAGGAGAAACTGGAGACTTTGAAGATGAAGCGAACAGAAGACAAAGCCAAGCTTAAGGAACTGGAGAAACACAAGATCCAGTTGGAGCAGCTTCAGGAGTGGAAGACCAAAATGCAGGAGCAGCAGGCCGAGCTGCAGAAACAACTCAAAGAGGCCAAGAAGGTAGACTGGAATGGATGAACTTAAATCGTCATCGGTGCTACAGTGTGATGTCTTTTTTCTCAAGGTTTTGGGAATGAAAGAACAACCTCTTAACTCATCAGGCTTGCCAGTTTCATGCTTTATTTATACCTTCTTACTTCACAGGAAGCCAGGGAGGCACAGGAGGCCAAGGAGCGCTACATGGAGGAGATGTCTGACACGGCAGATGCCATAGAGATGGCCACGCTGGACAAAGAGATGGCAGAAGAGAGAGCAGAATCGCTCCAGGTTGAGGTGGATAGCCTGAAAGAGAAAGTGGAGGAGCTGTCAATGGACCTGGAGATCCTTAGGCATGAGATTTCAGAGAAAGGTGCGTTTGGGGAAAAAAAAAAGCAGCATGTTTATAATAACCACTGCTATTCAAGTCATCCACAAGGTCTTCTTATGTATTCTGTATCCATCTCATTTCTGCTCACTTCTCATCAAGTGCTGTCAACCTTTCTGTGCACTGTTTCCTGCTGCAGGCTCAGATGGAGCTGCCTCCAGTTACCAGGTCAAGCAGCTGGAGGAGCAGAACAGCAGACTCAAGGAGGCGCTGGTCAGGTCAGTAGCAAATACCTTTTTAAATGAAGGTATTTGCCTGCTCTTTGTTACACTGCGTACACATAAATAAAAAAGAAATCACATTAACCTGTCTTAACTCGTAAAAAAGCAGTAAGAGAAGACAAGTCCTAAAAAAAAAAAAATAAACAAACCCAAAAAATCCTTCTTTCTGGTTCTTCCTCAGGATGAGAGATCTGTCTGCTTCGGAGAAACAGGAACATGTGAAGCTTCAGAAGCAGACGGAGAAGAAGAACGTGGAGCTGGAGACTCTGAGGACTCAGAAAGAAAAACTGCAGGAAGAAGTCAAGCAGGCAGAGGCCACAATCGATGAACTGAAGGAACAGGTAAAGGATGTATACATAAATACAGAAAGGCAATGGTTTATTTAGGTTCTACTGGTTCACAGTAGCTCATAATACATGGTAAAAAATATTTATTGAGACTAGTCATTGACAGCAAAGATGCATGTCCTTAATCTGAAAAATTGTGAGAGAAATCGTGAGACTTATTTGTGGAAACTAAAGACGTGTGTGTGTGTGTACCAGGTGGATGCTGCTCTGGGCTCAGAGGAGATGGTGGAGACCCTAACGGAGAGGAACCTCGACCTTGAGGAGAAAGTCAGAGGGCTGAGAGAAACCGTGACTGATCTGGTCAGTGCAGCTGTATTTATAATAGATCTGATAGAATACAACTGACACTCCTTAAATCTCCAACATGACACATCCAGGACAAAGGTGTGAGGAAAAGGTTTGAATGAGATATTTATAGCAGACCAACCACTTTTTTTTTTCTTTTTCTTTTTGCATTAACAGGAAGCCATCAATGAGATGAATGATGAGCTCCAAGAGAATGCCAGAGAAACAGAGATGGAGCTGAGGGAACAGCTGGATCTGAGTGGAGCAAAGGTCAGAGAGGCAGACAAAAGGGTGGAAGCTGCCCAGGAGACTGTAGCTGATTACCAGCAGACCATCAACAAATACAGAGAACTCACTGGCTCACTTCAGGTAGGTGGATGGAGGGGTAACTCTGCAGGCCTGCAGTTCTATTGTCCTGATGCTGTAAAAGGTTTGTTTTGTGCATTAGGAGGCCAACAGGGAGCTGATCAGTCAGCAGAATGCAAATGCAGAACAAGTTCAGCAACCACCTGCAGAGCTGTTTGACTTTAAGATCAAGTTTGCAGAGACCAAGGCTTACGCCAAGGTAAGAGAGCTCCATGGTGACATACAACCTCGGTGCCAGTGATGTTGGTTTTCTTTATTTAAACAACTAATCTCACTGTTTGTCTCCAGGCCATTGAGATGGAGCTGAGGAAAATGGAAGTAGCTCAGTCGAACAGACAGGTGTCCCTCCTCACCTCCTTCATGCCAGACTCCTTCCTTCGCCATGGTGGGGACCATGACTGTATTCTGGTACTCCTGCTTATTCCCAGGCTCATCTGCAAGGTATGAGGCAGACACATGACAGGTTTGAATTCTTGTGCTCGATTTTAGAATTACTTGGTTGTAGTGTGTTTTTCAAAGAGCTTTCCCAAATCCTTACTCAGCTGTGTCTGTATGTGGTCGATATCTTCTTGTCCGAAGGCTGAACTCATCAGTAAACAGGCACAGGAGAAGTTTGACTTGAACGGGAACCCGGTGCAGGGAACAGGGCTCAGAGGGCCTCCGGGAGAACAGCGCAGTTTTGCTTCAGGACTGGTCTACTCCCTCAGCCTGCTGCAGGCCACCCTGCATAAATATGAACAGTAAATATCGCAGCTTTACCAATAAAGATGCAGGAATAAAATAGGCGAACATACCTTCATCACTGGGTCGATGTGTTTTACTCTTTTCCTTTTTCCCTGCACTCGTTTAGGGCTCTGAACACCTGCAGCGTGGACGTTTTTAAGCGCATGGGAACCCTTTACTCTGAAATGAGTTTCCATGAACGCTCTCTGGATTATTTCATAGATCTGCTTCATAAAGATCAGCTGGATGAGACCGTTCAGGTGGAACCTCTCACTAAGGCCATCAAGTACTATCAGGTAATGCAGGGATGTGTTTTACATTAAAACGTCGCAACTGGACATTTCAGTTGTCGTATAAACTGTGTAACTGTAGATGTCATTGAGTTTATAACATGTTCATTATATCAAGTATCTGTTGTATTGTCTTCCAGCAACTGTATAGTGTCCATCTGGCAGATCACACTGAAGACTGCACAGTGCAGCTGGCTGATCACATTAAGGTACATCAAGCATGTTTAGCAAAGTTAAAAAGATTTATACAGTTTCACTTGTAATGCAGGGCTGTAAAACCAGAAATAACACTATTATAAAAATGTTTTTTATATATTAAAATTTATATATATTTTTAATATGTCCAAAATGTATAAATCTGTAAGGAAAAAGAAGCGTCGGGTTTTCCTTTAAAATGACACATGCCGCCTTCTCACCTCCAGTTTACTCAGAGTGCCCTGGACTGTATGGTAGTGGAGGTAGCTCGTCTGCGCGCCTTCCTGTCATCAGGACAGGAGAGCTCTGGTTTAGCAGTTCTTCTGAAGGACCTGGACACCTCCTGTTCTGATATCAGACAGTTTTGTAAGAAGATCCGCCGTCGCATGCCTGGAACAGATGTAGCTGGAGTCCCCGCTGCTCTCAGTTTTGGACCAGAGGTACGGCAACATGTCATACAAACTAACGCACCATTGCTGATTGGGATCTGTATAATTACAGCTGTACGCCTGACATGTCTCTCCTCATATGGCAGGTTTCAGAGACGCTGACCGAGTGCAGGCGTCAGTTGACCCGTGTGGTTGCGGTACTTCAAGAGGTAGCTGCAGCTGGAGCTCAGATGGTTCCTTCGCTGGGAGAACAGGAAGGTCTCAATGCTCTTAAACTGGAGGATATTGCCTGCAAGGTTGTGGAGCAGGTACTAGTTCTAGTTAATTGGTACACATAGCACATCAGATGTTTGATCTTGTGTTCTGAGCATTTTGCACAACATCAGTAGGTAGTGTATTAAGCACTGTTGATTTAATCTCTTGCTATTATCACCATCTGCTTTCTGTTCTTTAAGGTATATGGCTCCCATGGTGTAAATGGCCCAGAGTTACTGCGGCAGTCTTGCAGCTCTGTCATCACCACCATGAACAAGATGGCTACAGCCATGCAGGAAGGAGAGTATGATGCTGAAAAACCACAGGGAAAGGTATTTGTATGGTTGAACAGTTTCACAGTACCCATTTCACATGGTGAAGTCCCCAGTTTGGGACTTTTCAGACTAATTCTCACTTCACCAATTAGACTCTTCCAGTGGAAATGAGAGCAGCCACAGTCAGGGCAGAAATGACTGACGCCGAAGGTCTGGGAGTCAAACTAGAAGACAGAGAAACCGTCATCAAGGAGCTCAAGAAGTCTCTCAAGATTAAGGTAACATGCTGAAGAAAAGTTGCTGCCACTTCGAAGTGAAAGGGACTGGAAAGATGAAAACTGAACCGACGGGTATAACAAGCATGGCGCTGTATCTCCTTTTTATCTCAGGGTGAGGAGCTGAGTGAGGCCCATGTTCGCCTCAGCCTCTTGGAGAAGAAGCTGGACACCTCCACCAAAGATGCTGATGAACGTGTGGAGAAGATTCAGACCAAATTGGATGAGAACCTTGCCCTGCTGAAGAAGAAAGAAAAGTACGATTAATAAACAATGAAATTTTCCTCTCCATATGGTGGTTGTTTTCCTCCTCATTTGACCCTCCCTGTTACTCTTCTCCAGGGAGTTTGAGGAGACGATGGATGCTCTGCAGGCTGATATTGACCAGCTGGAGGCTGAGAAGGCAGAGCTGAAACAACGACTCAGTAACCAGTCAAAGATGACCATTGAAGGCCTGAGAGGTCCACCTGCCTCAGGAATTGCCTCCATCGTTCAGGGATCAGCAGGAGGTGAAGTTCCCACTTCTTATTTATGCTCATTTCTTCTCAGCAGCAGTTTTGGTGGTTTATATTAATGTCACATGTAATTGTTCTATCCAGAGAAAAGCAATTGCAATTAACTGGATTTTATAAGAAGTCTTGCAAAAATTGAGTATGTTCTATTGCAGTGAAACTTTTCCTTCCAGACTTTAGTCAGATTTTAACTAATGAAAGTGAGGAGAATCTGCACCATCTAAGGAGAACCACAAGGTGTCGTTGTTTCCACAATCATTTTATTTTTCCCCATCAGGTCTGCCTCCCTCTATGGGAGGGCCAATGCAGGTGGTGGACTCTCCTCTCCTCAGGCAGCAGATTGAGGCCCAGAGGCTGGGTATTAAACACCTTAAGAATGAAAACAACAGACTCAAGGTATGCTAGATTCAAGCGTGTGTATGTGTGTGAATTTACAGAAGCCGACCTGATTTCATCCTTTTTTTTTATATTTGTCACACTTAAATGTTTCAGATCATCACATAATTGGTAATAAAAGACAAAAATAACCAGAGTAAAAATTACATTTTTTGTTTTTTTTTAAAAACAAACAAACAATTTCTTTGTCTAATATTAACTTGTTCGATAATTTGAAAATTTTTTAACAAATATGCAAAAAAAGGAATTTAAAAAAATAGGGCAGATACTTTTTATGACACTGTGTGTGTGTGTGTGAGTGTATTTATATCAAAACAAAACTATAATAATAAACTACATAAACTTACAGGCAGAGAAAATGAGAGCCCAGCTAGCCTCCCTGCCGCCTCTCCGCCCTCCTAAACTCCCACAAGTGTCTAAAGAAAGCTCCATGCCTCCAGAGGGACTAAACACAGGCATATACCGAAGGACTGACCAGCTGCTGGCAACCCTGCTCAAGCTGAGTGCCGAGGTTAAAGTGGTGGACATCACTGGAAAGACGGCAGGTATGTGGTCACGGAGGTTTTAAGTATTTTCATATTCTGAAGAAGACTTTTGTGAGTTTGCTAAATGCATTGGGCAATTATTTTATGACTCCTTCATTTCTTACAGTTAGTGCAAGCGCTCAGCTCCTGGAGCAGACAGCTCGTCTGCAGAATCTCAGTGATGCTCTGGATAAACTCAAGGTGCTGCTTTAAACGTAGTTTCTATTACACAATCCTTATGTTGTCTTGTTATCAGTTTTAAAAACAAGCAGTCTGACCACATCTCCTGTTTCAGGGTGAGGTAGCCGAACATGTGGTCTCATATCAGCCTGGAGCAAAGGCTTCTTCTAACTTTGCTACATTCCCAGTCCCCTCTTTTACTAAGGTATTACTATAGTAGTATAAAAGAATATAAATGATTCATGTTATACAACAGTGGAAAATATATTTCATGTGCATATTTTTTGTTTCCTAGGCCAAGGAAGAGAAGCAGGGAGACACTGTATTCATTGGCCGTGTTGCGATTCCATGCACCCGTGGACAGGAACAAGTCCACCGTCTCGTCCTATCAAAGCCGCAGTTGCAGCATGTGCACAGTCTCCTCTTGGTTTAGAGCAGTAGGATCACACAGCAGAGTACCTTCTTATTCCAGCTAACACTTCAGCATTCCTATTTGTCTTTTTTGCTTTTCACTTTTCTCAGGAAACTGTTTCCACTTATAGCACTAATATTATCGACCCAGAGAAGTGTCTTTATAAAAGTGATTGTTTTTCTGAATTTCAAGACTCCCGAATGTCATTAAGGTGTCATGATTTCATTATTGAAGAAGTTTCTGTACCAATGTTCACTTTGTGCAAATGGCAAGGACTACAAAGCAATTTTTACTGCATTTGCAATGACTGATGTTTCTTCCTTTGTATCTTTTGTATTTGTGCAAGTCAGACAATAAAAGATAGCAGCCCAATTCTGAGCAAGAAATACTCAAATGTATGTTTACGTTTATACTTGTAAGCTGATATTACAGTGTAAACTTTCACTAATATGATAAAGTGCCAGCTCACAGTTTGTCTGCTTATTTTGGTTTCAACCTCATTAACTTAAGACTATCTCAGCAATAAAGTGTGTGAAACATTATTCAAAGGAGTTTTGCAGACACAACCACATTAACTATAGCTGTTAATATAAGTGTTCAGGGTTTAACCCACCCCACTCCCACCAAATCTATACTATATCCAACCTGTGAGAAATGTGATGAGACAAGAAGAATAATGATACACATTTTTAGCAATAACAGTCAACACTTTAATTTTAACTTTAGAAAAATACAAACTTTGAAATCTGAAATTTAAAATGTCTTGTTGGTGACAGAAAGATTGAATTTAGACAACTAAGAAAATGTGTAATAAGGGTAAACTATTGTGTATGTACTTACAGGTTAATAATAAAAAAAGATGCTTCTTATTAGTAGATGTAAAACACAGGACTGCAGTTAAAATGAAAAATGTCCTGATGATACAGAAAAGATAATTCGACGAATAGAATTTGGACGCGTCTGCTGCTTGTAAAACACCTATTCAGTAGTAGCCGCCATTGTAGCCATAGTAAAAGGGTCTGTGTTGGGTGTACGGGGCATAGTGGTGTCTGGCATGCCTGCTTCTCATTACATGCTGATAATTGTACTCCTGGTAGGGCTCAAAGCGGTGCGGAGGCCTGTAGTCAAAACCTGCAGGACACAGGACATGTTATATCTGGAGCAAACATGGCAGCTTCAAGTTAACATCTTTGCACAGTGAAAAAGCTAATCAGCAACTAGTCAAAAGACATTGATACCTGAGTTTTAAAGCAAATATTTTGACAGCAGAGTGAATTCCAGCACGGGTGTCCCCATCTGTTCATTCCATTACAAGTATGTCCACATTCCACTCTATGCACACTTACCATTTCTAGTCTCTCTGTACTGATTTCTGTGGTGAGGTTTTGGTGGGAGTGCAGCTCTCTGAGTTCCATTAGCCTCAAGGTGACACGTCTGTGGCCCTGGGTTTTCAAAGTTAAAGTAGTTAGTAGGGAGTGAATCGCTGAAGAATTCTGCCCGGCAGCCATTGTAAGGTATCTCTGACAAGTGCCAGTCTGTGAAACAGAGACAGCAGAAAAAGGGGTAACTTTTAAAAGGAGCATTCTGTGTATTGATGCATTCAGTCTGCAAGGCTGCAGCCATTCCTTTGATTGTTTTTTTAGATATTTGTTTTGTATCAACCTACGTGATAAAATCTACTGCAACAGTTTCTCCGTGGCAGAAACGCCTTAAAGACCGGGATGAGTAGCAGTCTTTCCTATTTCTAATAACTGGTAGGACATTACTAGTACTTTGACACACTAATAAAACAGCATGAGAAGCTCCTGCAAAAATTAAAACTGTCAAGCTACGTCTGCACATAACATGGGTATTTTTTGAGACAGATTTCTCTGCATTCATCTTGAAAAATATCTACACCCACATAAAAACACACAAGACGCCCTGAAGTGATGTCAAGAACTTGCCAAAATAATGTGCGATGATACAACCCTAACCATAGAGAAATCTGCTTAACTTGCCCACACATAAATACAGAAGTTGGGAAGTTGTTCTTCTGGTGATGACAGTGCCTCTTAAGCCTTTTATGGCTGAGGGGTAAAAAGCCACGTCCACTAAAATACCCACATACATGTCACCGGGGCTTTAATTTGCTGTTGCTTCTTACTACAAGATTCTCAGTAATAATATGGTCATTATCCAAACTTTGTAAACAATAAGTCTGTGTTCAAGGTCTCTGCAAAGTTTGCATAAAACGTCTTACTTGTGTGTTTTGGAGCACTGTTATAGGTTGGCTGTTCCTCAGCAACCTCCGTGTGATCTACACCCAAAAAAAAAAAGGAGAAAAAAGGCGAACTTCAAACCCTGAGAAAGCTTAGACAATAACAAACCACATTTTATCCTAGAAGTGGAAAATATTTTTCTGCATGTACGTGTGACTCCTGACTTCCTCTCACCATAGACAGTCACAGGACAGGGCAATATCACACCCCAGGCCTCTGCAGCGTGCTGTAACAGAAGGGAAGTTATCTTGCGATGAGCAACTGCGTTCCAGTGGACTCCGTCCTTCATTCGATGGTGCAGTGAGAATCTGAACTGGAAATGGAGGTCCAACACATCCATCCCATAGGCATCGGCCAGAGTTCCACTGTAGAAGTTGGCTTCAATCACATCGTAGCGCAACTGGGGTGCCTTGTGCTCAATCTGAGGCAAATAAGGGGGAAGGCAAAGCTTTAAGGCTCAAAACAGAAGATGGTAAAATAAAAAAAATAAAATAATGCAGAGCAATAGACCGTTAAAGTAAGTATTTAAAAAAAAAAAAACTCCAAAAAACTACAGATCCCACCATAATATATTCATTAAAATTTATAAAAGAAATGTAGACATCCCCACTTCCTTTGACACAGTAGCATCTGCTGTAATAGTTACACCTCTGATGAAGTCTCAAAAACTTTATTTTGATACCAAGATTGCAATTACAACTCTGAATAAACAAAGAAATACTGATATACCCAATATACTATTAATTTTAGGCATGTCATTTCAAATAGAAATGACCCTTGGGGTTTCAGATGTTAATGCTATTCGATTTCTGCTGTTACTCAGCCTCTAAAAGCACTTGGCTGAGAGGACAGTGGCATCACATTATCCGTTACAGGCACATGGCTTATGCAAATTTTTTAGATCAGCTTTCCCCAGATGACAAGAGACTTTTGACATGCAATGTGTTTAACACAATCAGATTAGTGTTAAATCATAATATAAATGGGACTTGCTAACAGACCTCAGGCACCAGGAAACCGCCTTTGATCCTCTCTCCTAAGGGCATGGTGAGGTTCCACACAACCAGCGTTTCCTCTGGCAGAGCCTCACGCAGCTCGTCGAAGAACCTATGAAGGTTCTCCTTGTAGTCATCAACCCAGCTGCAACTGTATCTATTACACCCAGTGCAGACATAAACAGGAAGAAGAAACATAAATCACTACAGTGGGAGGAATTCAATTAGGAAAACAAAAAGTTATGCTATGATTCTTCTGAACTGATAGATGCACACGAAAAAACTCCATCACTCTCACTTCTGACTCATCTCACATATGCTCTTTAATGAAATCAAATCAACAGCCCTATTAATAGTTACGCAATATACTCACCTTGAAATATCCCAAACACAGGAGTTAACAAAAACCAGATCTGGTTTCAAACCATGGCGGAAGTCCTCCAGGATGCTCTTCATGTAGCGAGAATAGATGCGCGTCACGAAGTAAAAACGGACCAGATGGTGGGCGGACTGAAACTGTCGAACTTCCTTGTACTCTGTGCCGTTGTGCATTTGACCCAGACAGCCCCCTTCCACCAGGCAGTCCTGTTCGAAGGTCATCTCACCCTAAAGAAGTAGGTTACAAGTGTGAGGACAACACAAACAAAGAGGTGAACAGATATAAAGCACGGCATTCAAATGAGACTCATTTCTATTTGTGCAAAAATATTACACCCATTTTTTTACATTACAATTTAAATGACACCAGTGGCATGATTACAAACTGTATATTGCATAAGTTAGCTGAGGTTTTAACTGGTAGCATGCACATGATTATACACCCTGCACTCTTTTTTTGTATCAGTGTATAAAACTGGTAAAATTTAGCCCTTGCCTTGCTCCGTAGTTGTCTCAAGGAAAGATATTTCTCTTTTTGTACCAGCAGAACAAGATCCTTGTACACTGCCCGCTGAACTGAGGAAGAAATAAAATGATAGATTAGAAGTAGTCCCCATAGATTAGTACATTACATTATACAGATTCGATAGTAGTCTTTTCATTGGGCACACCTTTCCAAGTGCACTTTAATATTTAATTCATCACTTAGCAGAAAATGGGCTGGTTTTAGCATTTTAGAAATTGCTGATAAACTGAACTTGATTACTACCATCAATTTGAGCCAGAGAATGGTTTAGAAAGGGAAAAATATATACAAAGACTTCTGGATAAAAATGTCTTGATGACAGCAGTTGACACTGGGGCACAGGATACATTGAATAGGGTCAGAATTTAGGGCTTAGATCATGGAGTTTTCATAGGGTTAACAACATGAAAACATGGATCCATCCTGGATTGGGTGAACAATTTAACCTGGTTGTGGTAAAACACTCATCTGGGGTAATTTTAGTGCTGCCCCATTAAATTACACATATTTGCAAATACACTGCAATGTACCTGAGTGTAGTTACTGACCATGTTCATCCCTATGATCACAGTGAACAGATATGGTTACCACACTCTTGTATAATAAAGATGCCACACACAAATCTGCGTGTCTGATGCCATTATTTGAACTTGAACAAATGTCATGAAGAACTAGCCTATGTTATTTATGAAGGTAAACGGGTATCATTTCCAGCACTACCAAACTGAACCTAATGAAGTGGATGTGAACGGTACATACAGTTTATTCACAAAACAGTCAACGTTGGGCAAACAAGAACACCTTAAGTGTAAATGCACAAGATCATGTAAATGCCGATTCATTAATTTTGTCAGCCAGCTACTCACTGGAGTCTCCCAACACCACGATGAACTTGTTATGGAGCAGCTGGCTGGCCTGCAGGTGGCTCACACTCTTCATGATCTCCCGCTGTTAAATTATAAAGTCAAACACTGTTGCTTCTTTCTATGGGCTCAAATTGTGGTCATAAATACTTTTCACTAAAAATGCCTAAATGTGCAAACTCAAAGGTGAGGTAGTTTTTCCAGATGAGATATTGACCGGACATCAGAGTTTCTTTACCATACTTCCAAGCTTCTCGCAATAACATTAGCTTACTAATGACCAACAGTGGTTAAAAAAAATAAATAAAATAGCTGGCTATTTTTCTGTTGGCTTAAAATCACTTATGTAATAAATACTTACCATTTTTGAGTTTAGATGCAAACTGTACCACTAATTCCAGCCCCTTGTAAATGCTATATGTGTTGGTGTTCAGTGTTATTTTTCAACCAGCTTAGCTAGCGTTTAGCTAGCGTTAGCCAAATTTCCTCTGAAGTGGCTCTTGCGCCACTAAGTTTTTAGTTTCAAGACCCAAAGTTGCGACAGCCTCCTCAACCACTTCGTTTTTTAAAAGTTTAAAGTTGGTGTGAATTTTTAAAAAAAGAAATATTACAAATATTTCACTCCGGAATTTCAAGCACACCCCCAAACTGCAGGTGTCGCCAATTAAATGGTGTTTTTAACGACTGTGCGCTACCTTAATGGGTCGACACTAATTTTAAAATGAAAAATAAATTGCTTAATAAATTAAAAAAAATTGAAATAATATTAGAGAGATATTACATGCTTTTTTAAAAAGATTTTTAAAATTTAACAATATGAATAGTTATTTTTTTAAATATACGTGCACATATGGAATTACAACCACGCCTCTTCTTGTGCCTGTTAAGCCATTTCCTACTTTACTGTGATAACACCAGCTGGCCCAAGGTTTTCTATAAATCAGTTCGTTTTCGGTCATATAATCAAACACTGTTTGTGTAAAGAACAAATAAAATCGGCCACTTAAAATTCTGAGTTTGGCAGAGAAAAGCAAAGGGAAAAAAATAAATAAATCAAAATTACATAAACTTCAAACAGATTTATGTCTTTCAAAAATGAATCTTTATTTCTTTCCATCGGGAATGTTGATGAGGCTTTAAAATGGGAAGTGAAAAAGCAAGGCTCATCCTCCTGCTTCACTTTTACTTTCAGTAGAAATCACTGTTATCATCATAATCTATCACTTGTAACTGATCCTTTTTCTTTTCTTTGCCTTCTTCTTCCTCCTCCTCCTCTTCTTCTTCATCTGTCTTCTCATCTTTCTCAGTCTTGTCCTCCTCGTGAAATTCCTGGTATATCCCAGTCAGAGCTTTAGCTGCTTCTAGAGACACTTTGAGACTTCCTATCACCTCGTCTTCATCCACGCTCACAACTGGCAGGAAGAGAAACCATTTGAAAGAATATTATGATTTCTACAAATTAGATGTAGTCAACAGTCATTTTAACTACTATGAATAAATGTGAAGGGTCTTGATGGTTTCCTTCACATAATAAATATCCATTTATCTTCATGCATGCTCAATCATCCAGGTAGGGAAATCCCGAAAAGTTGATTCTGTTAAGCTCGATGTGTGTTTCAGTGGGAGAAACGTTTCGTCAACCATCCAGACTGAGTGAGTGAAGAAGTCACTTGGATGTTTCTCCCACTGAAAACTCTACATCGAGATGAACAGACTTTTCGGCATATCCAATTAATAAACACTGCTCAAAAAAACCTCACGCACTGTCAAGCTGCTGTTCAATGACATCATTTCCTGTGAGCAGCAGTTCCTGTAGGTTCAGAAAAGCGTGTCCAACGTCCACACACTCCTCGTTAATGTCCATTGGCTCACTGACTACTGTGAACCTTAACCTGCCGTGACACGTACAGACACACAAACTTACATTTAGAAGCAAGACTTTTCAATAGCAGAGATATTATTAAACTTCTTAAGTCAGATTTTAACGTGTACAATTTCTTTGCAAACACTACCTGCCCTGGTTGGGGTCAGTGCCCTCCAACATCGTGTAAAGATACTGTCTAAGCGGAGTTGACTGTGAACCATCCACATAAATCACTGAGAAAGAAACAGAGAGATTTTGAGTCTATTTAGGATCTTTAAAGTTCAAAACTTATTGGCACAAACATGGACAGCTCACTAACTCTTACCTCGTGTAAAGTTGTAGTGAATCTCCTCTCCTTTGGTAGGTTTGCAGAGGGACATGGGTGTTTCTGTTGTCTCCATCGGGATGCCCAGCAGCCGATATTCCACGTACACTCGCTGCACTGACTTATCCATCGCCACATTTGAGGAAGGTTCAAAAGTCAGGGACAGAATCTCCACTCGAAGCTTTTCTCCCTGAAATACAATGACAAAATGTTGGCCTCCGCATTATTTCCAAAATAAAAGCTCATATTGCGTCCCACTGTAGCGCTATGTAGAAGAGCACAGTAAAGGCGGTATGATTATAATGTTTCTTTTGTTGTCTGTTGTTGCTCCGTTCTTTCAGACAGTTACCTTCCTCATTTTTTGTTTTGGTGGTATGACAACGATGTCACTTTGTGAGGAACTTGACTCTGAAGATTCGGGGGCTTCAGTGTCCTCTGCAGCAGCTGTTTAGTCAAAATCAAAGCGCTGTCAGCACTGAGCAGTCTTTTTTCTGCATGTTTAATGAATGGCAGAATAAAGCTATAAATTGCCGTAAGCAACCTAAATCAAGTGTGTCGTTTGTATATGAATAGTTACCGCTCTCACTCCTGTCCTCGTCTTCACCCTCAACAACTGACATCTGATCCACAATGGAAATATCCTGAAAAAAGAAAAGAAGACAACACATGACACATGAGCCCATTCATCAAGTTCTCGCTTGTGTCTTTTCATTCTAAATTTACATAAATTAGCTTTTCACAGCATTGTTTTGAATACAAGAAGGTGATTGAGCTGACCTGAGTTCTGGCATCGCTGACAGAGCTGACCCTCGACACAGTGGCGGGTGATTGTCTGGAAGATGTTCTCTCTGAATACCTTAAATAAGATTTAATACATTTTTAAAAATTAATCATGTTCTTCTTACAACATTTCTTATAAGTGGATGAAACTGTTTTAAATAAATGTGATGCTGAAAGATTATTTTGTTTTGTACCAATAAATAGTTGGAGGTCTCTGTGTGGTGTTTGAAATGTCAAAAGTGTTATTTCCAGCGAAAGAACCACTGCCCTTAGTGATTGATATTATTTGTTTACCACATTATTTACACGTTTGGTCCATATCAGGTCTTGAAGTTAACTCTATTCTGGGAGAGTCAATCTTAAGCTGTTTCTGCTCAGCTCTGCTGATGATCATAAAAGCGATGGTTGAAACTTCCAGTCAATTATTAAAACAATTAAAACTGATTATTATGGATTTAAAAATCTTATTTGGTTTTTATATACGTAACTATTTTCAGTGATATCAACTTTAAGAAGTGCCCCTTGTATTTAAAAGAAATTACTTAGTAGCTGGTAAATGAGAAGGTGTGGTCAGTCTTGGCTCAGGTGTCAGATGAGGTGTTCTCTGGTAAAGCTCAGGCGACCTCTTAGTAGACCTCTTTCTGTCTGTAGACAGTGGCCTCACAGAAGTGGTTTGCTCTGCTCTTATGTCCTGTGAGCTCCTCTGTTTGGTGGGTGGTGGCCGAGGCTGTAAGCCGACAAATATTGTATATCAGTGCACAAACAAACATGGCTGTATTGTGTGCTGAACTACCTCACCCACACATTCTTCAGATTAAAACCCTACCCAGGCTTTCATCTCTTTCTGCAAAGGCTCAGGTTTCCAAGTCTGTGAAAAAAGCCATAGAAAAACAGATTTTAAGCTATAGGGGATAGGAAGTGTCTTTGAACACGCAGATATCATGCACTTTCCTCACCTTCACTCTGGGCTTAGCTATGGGTCTCTGTGATGCATCATCCTTCTCTCGTCTCCTCTCCTCCCTTTCACTGCTTTCCCGTGCTCTGCCCTGCACGTTCATTCTGCTTCCCTGTCGGCCTAGCAAGGCATCCACTGGTGGCTGAAATGGGTACTTCCATTTCATCATTACTCTGACCATGCCTCGAGGTCCACCGGCTGGATCTCTCAGCACATAATCCCCTGGCAAAATATAAAGAAACTTGTGAGATATCCAGCCTGATTCAGAAACAGATGGTACTTTACAACTTGTATATGATCAGTTTCCCTAAACAAGCATGTAAATAGGTTAAATAAAAGTATTATTAACCAATTTGTGTTACTTTGTAGATACTTTGTAGCAACTTTTTTCCACCTTCATCTACATTAATGTCTCCTGGAGTTATGGATGCAGAAAAATCATGCAGTTCTTTTACTTTTCTCCATCCCTCACCTCTGATCTCTCTCCCTGTAGCCAGGGTTCGCAGTGGTATTGGGGTTTTGGCCAGATAAGGTGGAGGTATCTGGTCATCACTGTCATCAAACACGTACACCCACAGACTGCTTGACCTGAGAGAAAAGTGCAATTGAGTGAAGTTAGCAGGCTGCTAAAGGTGAGATTAAATAGAAACAAAAACAAAAGAAAACTTTTGAACTAGCGTACCTGAGGTACTGCAGCACATCAGTTGTTATTGCAAGTGGGTAACTGGTAGCGTCATTGAACACTGGATCAGCTGTGCACTTGGTTGTTTGAGAGACATGTGGTGGCAGGTCGTAGAGCCTGTATGTCAGGTAGGCATCAGGAAGTAGTCCTGGCCATCGAGCGCTGAGGCCCACACAGCGTTCCAGCATTACCACCAGTTCATTGGGGATTCCTCCACCATAGTCATGTAACTCCTGCCATGAATATAAACAGAGTCATAAATAGATTCTGTACATGTTTGGAAGCAGAGCATCCAACTTTAAAAGGCTACTTCACCCAAACTGGACTCAAATTGGACCCCCACCCCCCCAACAAAAAAAACTAGAAGGTTAGATATAATGAATGCATTTTGTAACAAATACATACACTTAACTGTAAAGCTAATACTGAACAAGGTGACAAGGGGCACAGATTTGCCTTAACACATGTGAACATACATGTAGCTCATACAGTAGGTGCAGTATGAGCTGGAAGGCCAAATTGTGTGTATTCCCAGTGTGGACACACTATTCACTGTGCTTTCATCAGCTTATCTTCTCTCTGATTTACCTCATGAATGCTGTCTTGCCACCCAAGTGTGACCTGCACAGGGCTTCTGTGTCTCACTGTTTTCCAGTCAGCTCCACTCTCTGCCACAGTGGCCACAGGCTCTGCAGGAGGAAACAGACGTGCCCAGAAATCCACAACACCAACAACTTCACCCTCGTGTCCTGAGAGGGAGACGGTAAATAAAACGAAAACATTTCTAAGAGATCTTTTTTTTCCATCTATGCAGTGGAATTAACAAAACAGCTTCTCTTTACACACCTGTAATATTCACGTGTCCACCAATACGCTCTCCTCTCCTCTCTATGGCACCCATTAGAGACATTTGTCCACTTCCGTGGGTCACAAACCGGACTCCTCCTAATGCCTGGTGGAGCTCTACTCTGACTCTTGACCCCTGACCTCCCAGCCGGCCCACATCCCGGACTGTCAGGCAGTAGCGGGATGTGAAGCCATAATTGGGCTGGCTTCCCGACACCAGAGGAGTAGAGTGC